CATTCATATTATGTTTGTTTTCTCACAATTTATTTTTTTTTAATGAGAGATTTAACTATTTTTTTTAATGAGAGATTTAACTGTTTATGGTTACATTTCTTAAAAAATCAACATTTTTTATTAACATTTTAGCTTTAACAAAATCTTTACATACTACTCATAAAATATTTTATCATTTTTAATTGAATCTATGATCAATTTAAAAAATTAATGATAAAGAAAATTTTCTTATTAAAAAGCAATTTTTTTTAACAATTTTTTTAAAAAGCAAATTTAAATTAAAAAATTTTTTAAAAATAAAAAGTAGAAAAAAAATTTATTTAAAATTTAATTTATTTCTGTTTTTTTTTTTTATCTAAAAAAATAGTTATTTCTTAATTGTGGCAGAAATGTTTTTTACAGCAATTAATTACTGCTTAGTGGTTTCAAATTTTTTCTTATAGGATATATATTTTTCTTATAAAAACATTGCAGGGCAATTATGACCCAACATGTGTAAACATTTACATCATTACAAATGTCTTTTCTGAGAAATTGTTTTAAAAACCTAACAATTTTACAAAAAATTACTAGATTATCATTTTTTATGTACATTTTTATTATTGTATGGGAATTCCACAGACCTGAAGTATCATTTTTAAATATGCACAATTTATTACTGTAGGACAATTCCATTGATCTGTATATCTTTTAAAAACAAAAGATATTATAGGTGTGGAATATTGTATGTGTAAAGCTAAATGCAGCTTAAAAAAATATTTAAAAAGCATAAAATAGATTCAAACTTCTTTAAGTTTAAAAACTTCCAAATTCAGGTATTAAATTGCAAATACATAAACATTAGTTGCATAAAGCGTGTTGTAATACATATCATTTATAATAATACTCTAATGTGTAATGTAAATCTGTCTAATATTTTATTCCCTATTAAATATCATGATCTAAGACCGGCTCTGTACATTTTACTTCTCAAATCAGCACTTGATAAAATTATTTGAAGTAGCAATATTTGTAAAAATATTTTCAGCACCTTTTCCAATATTTCTTAAAATGCTCTCAAATCAAAGGGAAAAGATGCCTTAAAGTATTCACCACAAGAAAATAACCCTTACAAATCAAATATAGAAACCCTCACAAACCAATAACAATGCCATCACTAAAGAGCAGCAGTGGCAAAAGTTACAATAATTTGTACTCAAATAAAAGTACTGTTACTTGAGTGAAATTTTACTCAAGTACAAGCAAGCCTTACCAGTAAAAAAAAGTTTACTAAAGTAAAAAGTAGCTCATTAAAGATGTACTCAGAGTAAATGTTACCGTTTTACTTTTTTAACACCCATTCTTAGATTGAAATTATTATATTGAAGTTGTTTTTAAGTGTGTTTTTTAGTATAAATAATACAATTATAAAATTTTTCATTATTCAATACTCATTTTATCAGTTAAAGTATATTTTTTTTCTTTGTGTTTGCAGAAACATAAGAAATTTCTCATATTTTATAAAGGTATGCACGCTATGCATATATGTAAAAAATGCTTTGCATAAATTTTTGAGATTGGCCGAAAGGGAGCGAACTTATTACTGAAAATGCCACTTACACTTATGTTACACGGAAAACAAGGTAAAAAAATTGCTTTAACTTTCAGGTTTGATTTCTGCGAATCAGTAAAGCAGTTTGTATTGGAAAACAAAATGCTGAGAATTCTAAACCAATTTAAAAATTTTATATAAATCTATCAGAGTTGACCAGCTAAGGAAAATAAACTTGTTTTTTTGATACTGTACATTTAACTCAAGTTACATCACTTACATTATCGAATGGTTATTGTGAATTTCTTTTATCTATGTATTATTATTTTGGAAATAATAATTACTTAATGACATAATTCATTTTGTAAATAAAAACTTAACAAAAAAGCGCCAGAATTTTATCAAATGCATAAACAAATTTTTATATATATATATATATATATATATATATATATATATATATATATATATATATATATATATATGTATATATATTATTTTTATCTTTTTATTTTGCCATTAAATAAAAATATATATGTGCAATATTGTTAGGTTTTTATTTTCTCATAAATAATTATAATGATAAATTAATAATAATAAAAAAAAACAATAAGATTACTAATTAGTTTGGTTTTTTCAGTGCGTTTTTAAAATGCGTAATTTTTAATATATGCAAAAAAATTGTAGCCAAGTTATCAACAAAAAAATGTATATGCGTGGTCATTCAAGGCGTGCGACCGCACTCGTTTCCTGAGAAAGCCTGATTTACAATGCGTTTTTGCACCTTGTCTAAAAGAGTAAGGGAGTCATTAGAAGATCCACCTCAGATATGGCAACAGTATTCCATACAAGGCCAGATTTTAGATTTATAGAGGTAGAAAATAGAGTCCGGAGTAAGAAAGTGTTGAGCTCGATAAAGAGATGCAACCTTAGCAGATGCTAATTTTGCAATGAATTTGATATATGGTTTCCAAGAAAGATCCGAAGTAAGAGTTAATCCTAGAAGATAAAGGGTCGATGACTCGAGTACATTACCATTCATAAATATAGGAAGGTCTAAATTATTGAGATAACGATTGGCTGAAAAAAAATTGAGTTTTATCTCAATTAAAGTTCATTAGCCACAGGGAGCCCCATGCTGTAGCGGAAGTGAGATCCTTTTCAAGCTCAAATGCCCCCTCCAAGCAATCAAAGAGTGTTGGCTTCATATATGACTAGAATAAATGGTAGTATCATCAGCAAACAATGCTACCTTAGATGTGAGAATATCTGGAAGATCATTAATGTAAATTAAAAAGAGTATAGGGCCAAGAATTAAACCTTGAGGAACCCCTGAGGTTACAAAATAAGAAGAATGCTGTCCATTGAGGACAACTTTTATACTACGATTGGAAAGGAAGGATTCAGTAATCCTAAAGATGTTTCCAGATACACTGCAAGAAAAAAGCTTATGGAGAAGGCCAGCATGCCAAACTTTATCAAAAACTTTAGAAATGTCAAAAGCGATGGCCTAAACCTCTCCACCTCTATCTAATGCATGATAAAACCTATAGGTTATTACTGTAAACAAATCAGCCGTAAAACGAGAAGATCGAAATCCATATTGATGATCAAAAAGTAAGTTATTAGATTCAAGATTAGTGTTTGTTAATTAAAGATTCTAAAAACTTGCTTATGGTAGGAAGAAGACTAATGGGACGGTAGTTAGATTAGTCAGATGGCTCTCCAGAATTTTTGAAAATAGGGATAACAGATGCCGCTTTGAGTATATATATATATATATATATATATATGTATATATATATATATATATATATATATATATATATATATATATATATATATATATTATACATAGTTTTGTAAAGTATTTTAATTACTAGTGTTTTAAATACCTATTTTAAAACAAGACTCTGATAAGCACTTGTTAAGTTGTTTTGAAAAGATAGACGACAGCTCCGGGGAACACTTCTGCAAGACTATAACAGGTATGTTGTCCGACCCACAAGCTGTAGAAGAGCCTAAGCAGGAAATCATTTTAGATACAGAAGCTGGAGTGATACGATTGTCAAGCAATGGATCAACCTGTTTGACGGCTGTATTAGGTAGAAGGTAACTAGAGGAATCAAGAGATAATATTGATGAAAAGTTCTTAGCAAACAATTCAGCTTTTTAGGTGAGGTGACAAAGTCTGAACCATACAAGAGAGGTGGAATAACAGATTTGCCCTTAATATTGATACTATTAAAGATTCTCCAGAAGTCACAAGATCCTAATTTTTGTAATAAAATATGAGATTTCACGACCTGAGAATTGCGGGCTTTGGCGTTAGGCAAAACTATTTTACAATGGTTTCTTGCAGTAATAAACACAACGCCTGTTTTCTGGAAAATTGTTTTGCTGATAGATATGGAAGTAACGGTTTTGGTTGGTAATTGCAACAGCACAATGTGAGGAAATCCATGGAGAGGAGTTAGGCTTGACCTGGAATTGTCGAGAGGGAATTAAAGTTTCCATGCCAGCTTGAATCCACAAAGTTATGTAAGAAGCACATTTGTCAACAGAAAGACAAAAGATTTCTTCCTAAGTCCCAGTCAACTTTGAGGTAGTTGTAAGATGTACAATGATAGTGAGATTCAGATGATGAAGAAGAATGAGATAATAGTTTTAGAGAGATCAAACTGTGACCAGAAGCACCTAAGGGTAAATGCGGAAAAACTGAGCACTGACTAGTATCAGAAACAAGACATAAGTTGATAACATAAGTTATATTTAGAGTTCTATTTATAGTCCTAGAACTTCTTCAGTTGCTTTAAAAATTCCAGTTCCACTTGTAATAATTTTATCATTAAATATTTTGTTTATCTTTGTTCTAATATCTGTATGTAGATGTAACATCTTAATCTGAAATCTAAATGCAAAATTTTTATTTAAAACTATATTCAATGGAGTTATTCTACTATTTCAAACTTCTAAATGTAAGCATTTTTTTTGTATTTATATTGACTCTTATCTGTAATTGTTACTATGCCACAGTCTATGAGTAACAATTAGCTAAATAGCAGTCTATGAGTAACAAGTAACTAAATAAGCAGTGGCTTGATTAACTGCTTGTTACTAGTTTAAAAAGTAATGGTGCTTTTACAAAGTTAATCAAGTATTTATAGATGTACAATGTGTTTCTTCTACATCTACATGTACTTTGTACATCTAAAAATTAACTTTGCAAAAGCACCAATATGTTATAAATTAGTAACAATTAGCTAAATGAGCTGCTAGATTATGATCCTTTTTACCGACTTAATATTCTTGAAAAATACTTCTCTTCGCTTTTTGGGTTGACATATAAATTTCTTATTTTTCATTTATTTTTTTATAAAACAAAGGGTGTGCTGGGAAATTTCTGTTTATTAAGCTTTTTTTTTTTTTTTTTTGATAATGATATTTCATGTAAAACCTTTTTTTTTAGTTAGTTTGTAAACTTCGATCAATTAAAGAAGATGTGCGTGAGATGTGGGAGGTTGTTAAATATTACAGAAACTTTTTATTTTTTAAAGTTTTTAAACTTTTTTATTTTTCTCCATTTATGTATATAAACATAATTTTCTTAAATAGTTTATATTTTTATTATTATATTTATTCTTAACAATTTTTTTAGTGTATGTGCGAATTGAAAAGGCATATTTGTGGAATGATTGAATCAGACAATGATGGGTATATATAAGATTAATATTTTTATTTTTGTATAACATTTTTACAGTTTTATAATTACATTTGTGGCCAGTAAAACTCTTTTTTCCAGACCTTAGGCAACTAGATTTCATTTAATAAGTTATTATTATTTAGAGACTTGAATCCTAAATGTTTTAACTTTTATAGTGAAACAAAAATAGTCTTGGTTTTGTTCAGAATCTTACGATGAAACTTTTTACATATTAAAAACTTTATTGATGAAAAAAATTAGGAAAATTTAACAATGAATTAGTTTCTAAAAGATTAAACCTGATAAATATTCATCATACTAGTATGACCTATTAAATAAGTTAATTTAAAAAAAAGATTAAACCTGATAAATCTTCATCATACTAGTATGACCTATTAAATAAGTTAATTTAAAAAAAAGATTAAACCTGATAAATCTTCATCATTCACCTATTAAATAAGTTAATTTTAAGAAAATTTACTTTCATGACCAATAAGTTTTTTTTATAACCATTTAAACAAATTACTTTTATGATCAATTAAACAAGTTACTTAAATAAAACTTAATTTAATACAAAAAAATATATTAAAAAAAAAAAAAAAATAGCATAAAATAATTTTAAAAAATATTTAAAAAGAATTTATCTGAAATTTTTCAAGAATTTGTTAAAAACTCTGTTTTACAGTTAAGTGCTGTAACAGCATTACATAGAGTTAAGTGCTGGAACAGCATTACATAGAGTTAAGTGCTGGAACAGTATTACATAGAGTTAAGTGCTGGAACAGTATTACATAGAGTTAAGTGCTGGAACAGTATTACATAGAGTTAAGTGCTGGAACAGTATTACATAGAGTTAAGTGCTGGAACAGCATTACATAGAGTTAAGTGCTGGAACAGTATTACCTATAAAAAAAGGATCTTCCTTCTTAATCTCATCTTTCTTGGAGAAGTGAAGATATAAAATAATTTTATAATATTTTCAACATATTCCTAAATATTATTTCGATAAATAGTATTTAGGAATATTATTTATCAAAATAATATTTAGGAATTTTTTTTCTGCATTTGTTTCTAATATACTTTCAAAAAATAAGTATTTTTTGTTCTACTATAATTAGAATAAAAATAAAGAATGTTTCATTATTGATTCCAATACACTAATTTGGACACTAGGGCAATATTTAGAGGTCCTCTAAGGCCATTGAAGTTTTACCATTTTAGAAAATAAATATTATTTTTTGAAAATGATAAAGCTTTTTTATATTTGAATATTGATAAAGTTTGAATAGCACATATGTTTTTTATTTTTATTAAAAAAAAATAAAAAAATATTTCAGTCTATTAAATTGTGTTTTGTGTTGAGATTAATTATCATTAATCTCGACATTGCTGCTGATTTGAATTTCATCATCATCATCATCTTCTTCATTATTATCAACCAAGTTTCCACTTAACTCTGAATTTTCATACAGAAAAATTTCTAGAAGTCGCAAAGCTCTAGACTCAACCTTCTTTCTCGTTTGGCTGCACAGCTTTTCTGCGTCACAGCAACCAGCTGTCCAAGTGAGTGAATATTTTCAACCGCCGGAAATGTTATCATGAAGAAAAGAAATCAATTAACGCCAGAACATGCATTTCTGCATGTTCTGGCGTTAATTGATTTCTTTTCTTCATGATAACATTTCCGGCGGTTGAAAATATTCGCTCACTTGGACAGCTGGTTGCTGTGACGCAGAAAAGCTGTGCAGCCAAACGAGAAAGAAGGTTGAGTCTAGAGCTTTGCGACTTCTACCACGTTAGTGGATCTCCCGTGAGCGGTTCAGGATCTTCTGATAAGTAAATTTGCATTTCCTCTCTGAAAGTTGTTGGAACTGAGCTTGCATTTGTTACTGGCTTGTAAATACGCGAGAATAAATCAACTTTTTTTTTTCTTGTATGAAAACTATCAAAGACTTTGCATTTCGAGGATGCAGAAGCTGTTGTAGCAGGGCCCATGACAGGTTGCTGCTGCAAGATGGCGTGTAGTTCTTCTGCATATGTTATCACACTTGTTTTATTTTCGGTGGTCAGAAATGGGAGGGTTTTGAATCGGGGGTCCAAAAGGGCACCAACCATGCTTAAATAGCAAGGAAAATCATTGTTAATACCGCTAACCAAACCAAACCGTTGCTTTATTTCACTTTGCAGCTTTTCTTTCAGCTGTACAGCAGCCCACGTGTCGTTTTCATCATCTGGCTGAAGAAAATCTAGCAATACGAAAATTGCCGGATAAATCGCTGAGTATGAAACATACCGCTGACCACTCCAGCGAGTAACCTGGTCAGCAAAGGGTTTCAAAACTTCCACCACTGTTTGTGCAACGCCCCAATGGTCAGCGTTGGGGACGGCACACTTTGATTTAGCCATGTCTTTCTTCACTTGAGGATCCTGTAGAAAAGATATTCATAAAAATAAAAGCGCACAAGCATGCATTTGCAATTTAACCAATCAATTATTTATAGGTATAGTAAATTATAACAATTTATCTTACCTGCATTGCGGCAATGATGTTCTGTTGTAGCCTCACCATTTGTTCCGCCATATGGATTTTGCTGCTCCACCTGGTTTCACAGTCCATGATAGGGCGGATAGGCTTTGGAAGTCTAGATACACGGTTTTTAGAATTTCTCTTAATTTCGTCTTTCTGAATTTGTTTGAGGACATTCCAGGATGAATTCGAACTTCTGAAGAACTGTGCCACTCTTCTGATGGCTGCCAGCACATTTCTAACTGTCTGGATAGCATTGATGCTGTCATTAATGGCCAATTGACTTGTATGCCCGACACACCGTACCATATGCTGCACACGTTTGCTTGAAGTTAGTGCTAGCACAATGTTTGCGGCATTGTCTGACACCATTGCGAAAGCTTCCGGAATATGCCAGGCATCCATTGCAGCCTCCAAACTTGTCTGTAGGTTGACGCTCGTGTGACGCTCCTGAGAGTGAATCAAATTGATAACATAACTGACAAGGTTCCAGTTCTTGTCAATTAAATGAATTGAAATAGCTATGAAGCTTTCATTAGAATTTGATGTCCAGCCATCTGTTGTGAGACAAGGATATATGTTTAGTTGTCCCATAATTGTCTGAACTTCTGCAAAAATGGCAACCTTTCTTGCCTCAAATTGCAAAGATATTCTTGAGACAATTGATGTGTATCCTATTGGTGGAGCTCCTGTAAATAAAATGTAAATAGTGTAATAAAGTTAAGGAAGTAATAGAAGTTATATTAATATAGCCAGATATTTTATTTGCATTAATTTTCAAGTGTTAGTGACAATTCAAAATTTTGATAACATTACAAAAAGCTGTTATTAGAACGGCCTGATATCTATCTATCTATCTATCTATCTATCTATCTATCTATCTATCTATCTATCTATATATATATATATATATATATATATATATATATATATATATATATATATATATATATATATATATATATATATATATATATATATATATATATATATATATATATATATATATATATATATAATTAATTAATAAAAAAAATGTCTCTAACCTGGATACAAAAATTGTGCCACTGCACGGAATCCTCTTCCTAAGACAAAATTGATAGGGCGTAGATCCATAACGCACATCATTGCCAACTTGTTGCGGTACTCCTCTTTTTTGGCACTATTCATAACGACAGTTGTTGTGTTAAAATACCTACTTATTAAGGTATTACTAGCACTTGTTGAAGAACCTGCACCAGATCTTCCAGCAACAACCTGATTAGAAGGATGACGCAATTTGAGGTGATTCTGCATTGTAGATGTACTTCCTCCTTTGCACGATATTTTCTCACCACACATACTGCACACAGAAAAATTATTGTCAATTTTTTTAAAAAACTTTCACACAATACTCTTTTTAAGACAAGACATTATGCTCTAAATAAAACAGATAATTTTTCATATAGAGAAATTAAAATGATTCATGTAATTAAATTAAAAAAGTTAAGCTCATAACATAATATACTTATGTAACTATATAACCTTGTTACATAGTTACATAACTTAACTATAAGCCTTGCAATTTTTTTATCAAAATGTTTTAATATCTAATATCAGAGGATGTTTCAAAAGCATTCTATCATAAAAACATTTGATAGATATTATAAAGTTAACTTTTTTAGCGAAAACTTATTGTTATGCGGACATAGATGGAAACATGGATGAACTTGAATGTTCTCAAAACATCTTGTTACCGCCAAATCTACGCATAAATTACTGCTAAATCTACGCATAAACGATTTCTATTGGTTCAAAAAATACGTTGAATAAGCGAATTAAAGTTCCAGAATATTCCAAATAAACTTTCTTAAAAATGTATTGTTTGAGTTGCAAAAGTAATAAATAAATCTTTGAGATTTCTTTTGTAAATTGTTTTAAGAAAATATTATCAAACAAAACTGATTAAATTAACATTTAAATTAATAAAAGAAATTTATTATAATCTTTGATAAATTAGCATTTGTCAAACAATCGTCATAAGTAAGATGTTACTTTCTATAAATTTAGTAAAATTATAAAGTCGGTTTTTATTATTCGGAAATATATATTTGATATTCGAACAAAATCCGGTTAACCGAAAAACCGGATAACCGGGGAAACCACTACTTGTTAAGCTCTAGAGCGAATTTTGAAAAAAAAGGTTCAATTACACTTAAGTAAAACGTTGGCAGGTATAAACATGGTGGTCAAATCTATTAGTTGATAGGCTAGTTCTGCAACTAGAAATATGTCTGTTTATTCATAATCTTAAATTGTTAGTTTTGCTAGTATATTTGGCTTGTTTTTTGCATGCCAAACATTTAAGATAATAAATTGCATTTTTGCTGTTACAATTGATATAAATTTTTATTTTCCAAATAGTACCATTAGATGTTAAAAACTCATCCGCTTCTTGAAGGAAGAGTTTGCATATTTCACACCAAATGCCTTTGCACTTAAATATGCCAGTCTTCTTATTAGTTGCTTCAACTTTTGAAGTAGTAGTTCTTGCTAATAAGTTAGGAGATAATGCTAATGTTTTATCTCCTAACTAATGCTTTATCTCCTAACTAATGCTTTATCTCCTAACTTATTAAGAAGAACTACTTATTTTATGCGTTTAAATGCTAATACTGGATGAATATTAGAAAAAACATTTTTGACTCTTTCATTATCAGATACTTTGAGGAAAAGGTTAGCTTCTGAGATTGACAATTGAGATTGCTAGAGAATGTTGTCACTAAAGGAAATATTTTTTTTAGATACTTCTTTACTTTTTTTCTGATCATTGCAGTTTTGCATTATGGAATGCTTTATCTATAATTCTATCAGGATATTCACAGTCTTTCAACCATGACTTTAGTTCTGTCAGACAAAATTTTTCATCAATCCTGATTTCAATTAATAACAATCATAACCAAAACTCCTCTGATAAAAAATGTATTCAGTTCCTATAAACAAGTTTTTGAAGAGACCTTAAAAAATGTGGATTCCAAAAATTTGAACTAAAATTTGATCCTAAAAAAAAATAAAAAATAAATAAATAAAATAGAACTAGAAATGTAATTTGGATCATATAGCAAAAATGTTTCCACTAACATAGGAAAAGTGTTTTTAAAATTGGTTGTTAAACATTTTCTTTCCTTTAATAGATTACATAAAATTTTTAATTGAAATAGAATTAAAGTTATGTACAGTTGTACAAAAAATATGGAAAGAATTAAAAAAGTTTACAATAGTTCTTTGCTAAACAAAAAAAGTCTTAAATGAAAAAACAACAGAAAATTTTAATTGTAAACAAAAAATAAATTGTCCAATAAGTGGAAAATCTTTATCAAAAATTGTGGTATATAAATATGTTGTTTCCTCTAAGAATGTATCTAATAAACATTATATTGGCTTAACAGAGGGAGAATGGAAAAATTGTTTTGCCAACCATAAACAATCCATTAAAAATAAAAAGTATTCAAAAGACACCATGCTGTCAAAATACATATGGGAATTGAAAGATAAAAAATTGATGATTTAATATTGAATTGGTTCATCCTTAAAACAGCACATACATATAATAATATTTCCAAAAAATGCATACTATGCTTACAAAAAAATTTAAATTAATTACCATGTGAACCAAGAATATTTATACAGAAAATTGGAATTGATTTCTAAATGCAAGCTAGAAAATAAGTTTCTTCTAAAAAACTATAAAAATAAGTGAGCTCAAAAAATAATTATTAAATCCCTCCTTTAAAAAAAATATCGTTAAGCAGAAGTAAACAATTCTAAAGAATTCTTTTTTTAATTGTGTCAGCATGTTCCAAAATATGTGAAAGTTTACAGTAGCTACAATATTTATTACTCCTTGCAATTTAGTTTTAGTAATTTCACCATTCATTTCTAGTGAGTCTTTTACATTTCTATTGATTTTTTACTAATTTATATATATATATATATATATATATATATATATATATATATATATATATATATATATATATATATATATATATATATTTATATTTATGTTTATATTTATATATACATACAAATAATTTTAAATGTATTCTACAAAACAGAGTGCTCAATGTTCTTAAAAGAACAGAGCAATAATAAATTGGTAGAAAATCACAAAAATTTTTCATTTTACTTAATTGATGAGATTTCTGATGAGACTTAATTGATGAAACACAATATACATATACATATACATATACATATACATATACATATACATATACATATACATATACATATACATATACATATACATATACATATATATATATATATATATATATATATATATATATATATATATATATATATATATATATATATATATATATATACATATACATATACATATACATATACATATATATATATATATATATATATATATATATATATATATATATATATATATATACATATACATATACATATACATATACATATACATATACATATACATATACATATACATATATATATATATATATATATATATATATATATATATATATATATATATATATATATATATATTATATATATATATATATATATTATATATATATATATATATATATATATATATATATATATATATATATATATATATAATATATATATATATATATATATATATATATATTGAAATCTAACAATAATTTAATGCAAATGGGTATGCAAATATATAAAGCTGCTAAGTTTTCTTATTATTTGAATTTTTTTCAGCAATATTATTTCGTTGTTTGCATTTGTTTAAAAAGCTGTGTTTAATAACACAATTAAGCAGAAAGTTCAGTATTTTATGATTAGATGTTATTCTTTAATAAAATTTTAAAATAAAGTCTTGCTGACTTAATTATATAAATATTATTTGCAGCAACGTTGCAATATAACTGAGTCAATAAAACTCAAAACTAGACATAGACAAAGTCTGGTTGAGATTTTATGAAAAAACCATGCACACTAATATTACAGTATATTACTGATAGTATGAAAGTGTTCACTAAGTGCACAAGTGTACAACTGTTTCTTTTTAGAAAGTGATTGTAGTGCTAGATAAACCAAACACCGTTATTACAGTATAAAACTGATACTATGAAAGTGTTCACTAAGTGCACAAGTGTACAACTGTTTCTTTTCAGAAAGAGTTGTAGTGCTAGATAAAACAAACACCATTATCTAGCATAATATTTGTACATCAAAAAAATTATGTCCTACTTAACTATTGGGGTACCAAAACAGGGTAAGTGGCAGTTGATGTAGTTCTAACACTGCTATAATCTAGAAGGTGTGATTCATAAACCATTAGGATGTTTTTTGACATAAGACGCTTCTATAGATTTTTATGGTTTTAATTTATTTCAAATATGTGATAACCTGCCACTGTCGCATTTTTAAAATACTTTTAAAAAGTTGCAAAATTCTTTGTAGAGCAACAAGTCAATTATGTTATTTATATTAATTATTTATGATAGTTGTTTATTTTATTTACGGCCTCTATTTTAAGTGTTCTTATTTTTATGTAGCAAGTGGCTTGGTAAATTGTTTCATAAATAGTTTTTAAGCAAATATTTTAAAACCCAAATTGCCAATTCTATCACTTTTTATTTTTATTTTTTTTATTTACTGTTTTCAACTCTCCAAAGCCATGCTGGTTGCTACTTTCTAAAATGATGGAGTTATTACCACTTGAATTAAATTTTTCATCAAGTTTCCAATTTATTGTTGTAACCACCCCTTTACTATCCCTTTTTTCATAAACTCTATCACATATTGTTCCTTATTCCATTTAGCTACCTTACTTACTATTAACATATACACATGAAATCCTGAACTCCCAAATATACTTTGATAAACTTAATTACGAAAGTTTTATTTATAGAGATTATTTTAAGTAGATTAAACATAAATTTGTTTAATAGTTTATAATAATTTATTTAATTTATTTAATTTATAATAATTTATTTTTTTGTGTACAAAAACATACTAGTAACCAAAACACAAATAAATGAAATATTTTATTTTTTTTTATCAGAGTTCGAACTCATGTTGTAAAATTTATGGAGATGTTAATATTGGTGCATTCTAAATCATCTGAAGTTTCTAGTCAAGGGAAGAAAGATGGTGATATAACTCTTGATGTAGTAAGTCATTTCATTATTTATTTTATGATTTCAAGTTTTTTTGTTTATTATTTAGTTAATATTATTCTGTCTATATGTGTGATGGTTTTTGTTTAGGTTCCTTCGAACCATCCATTAGTAAAACAAAGTGAACTTTTAGATGAAGGTTTAACTACAATGGAAGCTTTATTAGCCATGTGTGCATCACCAAATATTTCAAGGTAATTTAAAATTTAAAGACTTAAAAATATGCAGTAAAATATAAAATTATTTTTAAAAAACTCTAATTTTTATTTAAAAGTTTGTTTTTAAAATATAATAAGAGTTCAATATATATATATATATATATATATATATATATATATATATATATATATGTATATATATATATATATATATATATATATATATATATATATATATATATATATATATATATATATATATATATATATATATATCTACTATAGCATATTTATATGTACAATTGCTCACTTTTTTTGCTAGCCTAAATTAAGTGAGCATTTTTAGAAAACGATGAGGGAAAACGAAGAATAATGAATGAAAATGTTGCTGACCTATACCAAACCCTCAGTCGATGTAGCAGCACTCCACGGCGAGTCAGGCTATTTGTCAGTCGATGTATGTACTGAAGCCCCCGGCAGCAGGGTATTTGACATTAGGTGAGTATGACATCATCATGCTCACCTAACTCAGCAGTATAAGATATATATGTATGTATATATGTATGTATATATATATGTATGTATATATATATATATATATATATATATATATATATATATATATATATATATATATATATATGTATATATATATATATATATATATATATATATATATATATATATATATATATATATATATATATATATATATATGTATATATATATATATATATATATATATATATATATATATATATGTATATATGTATATATGTATATATATATATATATATATGTATATATATATATATATATATATATACATATATATATATATATATATATATATATATATACATATATATATATATATATATATATATATATATATATATATATATATATATATATATATATATATATATATATATATATATATGTATATATATATATATATATATATATATATATATATATATATATATATATATATATATATATATATATATATATATATATATATATATATATATATATATATATATTAATAATAATAAATGATCAAAAACAGTTCAACTTGGTATATTATTTGAAAAATACAATAAAATATTAATTTATATAAAATATTTTCAGTTCTACTTGTTTTTAGTTATGTCATAGCTTTTTAGTTAACAACATAAAAAGCAGGCACCAGAGAAAGTCAAATAGAACCTGCCAATACCTGCACATACAAAAAAAGATATATATATATATATATATATATATATTAATAATAATAAATGATCAAAAACAGTTCAACTTGGTATATTATTTGAAAAATAAATAAAATATTAATTTATATAAAATATTTTCAGTTCTACTTGTTTTTAGTTATGTCATAGCTTTTTAGTTAACAACATAAAAAGCAGGCACCAGAGAAAGTCAAATAGAACCTGCCAATACCTGCACATACAAAAAAAGATATATATATATATATATATATATATTTATATATATATATATATATATATATATATATATATATATATATATATATATATATATATATATATATATATATATATATATATATATATATATATATATATATATATATATATATATGTATAAAATCTAAAGATATTTAGATTGTGACATCCATATACTTTGGTATAAAATAAATAAGATCTAATCTATCACAACATTATCATGGTTGATAAAGTCATAATATAATAGATAATATTTATTCAATCTAGTCTACAAATAATCAGTCTACAAATAATCCTACCCTTTGTAACAAATCGTCACAAAATCCATATCCCCTCCCCTTCCTCTTCCAATTGCATGGCATAATTTGTGCATGACTCCTAACTTCAATTAAAAGATTTGTGAAAACTATTAGGAAACAAAGTTATAAAAAAAGCGTTATTTTTTATCAAATAAAAGAATTAAACCATACTTTTTGTGACTAATATATTAATATGCAATAAATTAATATACTAATATGTAATAAATTTTTTTACTCATTAGCATATAATTTTAAAATGTAGCAAAGTACAATACTTTTAAAATATATATACTTAAGTAAAAGAAAAAGTACACTTATTAAGTATTTAAAAAAGTACCTAATAAGAAAAAAGCATTAAAAAAAACTTAATTTAAACAGTAACAAGAGTTAATATAGGTTGTCCTCTAGATAATTTATAATAAATTCTTTTGAATTTATTATAAATACTATTTATATAGTAGTTAAATCAAGATAATTTTAATTTTTACTGCCATTTTTAAATAAATAAATAGCTCTACTTATAATATATCTTTTTAATTATCTTTGTAATGTTTTTTTAGTGTTAACTTGATGGCTGTTTTAAGCTCATTGACAAATATTGGGAAACAGAGACCATCATTACTCCACACCATCATCCAATCTTTTGAATCACTACATGGTTTGGTTCTTATTTATTTGTTATAATTTTCTAAATTTGCTTTGTATTTTTTTGTAAAAAATTTACTGTTTTTTTGTATTGTTTTGTTTTAAATTCAATTTAATAATGTTAAGAAAATTATTAGCTAATCTTCCACCAACATTATCCAAGTCTCAAGTCAGTAGTGTTAGGAAAACTCTAAAGGTATAATTTACATTATGATGTCATAAATGAAATGCTAATTAAGCAAAGATGTTTGTTTATGTGTTTATCTATATAAGTTGTAGGTAAAGTCAGTTATCTTCATTACTGTTACAAAGAGAGATGTTAGATTTAAGTGTTACAAAGAGAGATGTTACATATAAATGTTACAAAGACAGATGTTACATATAAGTGTTACAAAGAGAGATGTTACATATAAGTGTTACAAAGAGAGATGTTACATATAAGTGTTACAAAGAGAGATGTTACATATAAGTGTTACAAAGAGTGATGTTACATATAAGTGTTACAAAGAGATACTGAAAGTAAAATATAAAAGTTAGATTAGTTTTAAGGAGCGAATTCAAGTTTCTCAGATTTCAAAAAAGTTTTAAGAAAAAACAGCAAGTTTACTGCAACAAATAGTAACATTTTTTAAATAATATTTTTATGAAACAGTTGTTAGTTCAGATTATACAAATGCATGATAAAAATACTTATTGTTATATGCCAAAATAAAAAAAACAAATAAAAACAAAGTAACTAAAATGTGCATTACTACTTAAATCAACTTCAAAATTGTATGCAAATAAAGGAACTTCAAAAAACCATTTCTAAGTGATACTTATGGTCCAAAAAGTACACATTTTAGTTTTAAAATTGGCTTTGTCCCATATGACAGACAAATAGTTAAAGAAGGTAATGTTTGTCAAGGTTATTTTGTGTCAACATCATCAAAAAGCATGATAAATTTTTTTTCTCATAAAAATCTTTACCAAAGCATATAAAAATTAGCAATCTGATTTACAAAATCTGGTTGGATTGCTTCAAATTAAATACTTTGAAGGTTGCTAAATGGCTCTAGCCCAATGTAATTCACAATCATTTAATTAGCCTCTTGAGTGATTTTTGTTTCTGATTTGATACTTTATTATATATATATATATATATATATATATATATATATATATATATATATATATATATATATATATATATATATATATATATATATATATATATATATATATATATATATATATATTTATGTACAGCGTGTAAAATAAGAAATCAAAGACAAGCGGTCAATTTGACCAGCTAACCTTTGGAATTGATGATCAACTGTTTTTTTTGGACGGTCAACATTTTTATTATTTTCTTTGTTTTCATTTTAATCTTCAAAATAGTTCTACATGACTGAACTTTATAAATACAAAAATAACTTAATATTTGATAATTAACGAATTAGTATTCCTTTTTTAAACTTGCAAATAACTAACATTAAAATTACACGCCAATGTTAATTAAGTTTAAAATTAAACGCGCAGGTTTTTATTTTATTTCTTTTAGGAAGTTTGATGAATTAGATAACATCCAATTCATTTACTTAGTGACGTCACTTACCAACGCCACTATTAAACTAATTATGTTCGTCACTAATTAATGGATTAAATTATATATATATATATAAATTATATTATAATTAACAGATTAAATTATATATATATAACATGTAAAGACATTAAAACATATAAAGACAAAAAAGTAAAAACAAAAAAAACAATAGTTTAAGCTTATTAAAGATTATGTTTTTTTTTTTCTTAATGAAAGTAACTGCGCTTGAGCTTAGTTATTATCATTTTAATTTTAATTTCGATTTAAATATTATCAATTCTGTTTATTTAACTTTTACTAAAAGTTAAATGAACAGTTTTATAATAATATTCACTTTGCTTTTAGACGCTTTTTTTAAAAAATTGAATTAAAAAAAATTATTTATTATAAAAACATTGTGTAGATTAAATAAGTTACATTTACTATGGATTTTTTCAAAAAATTTAAGATATTACAGTTTAAAAATAACTAAAACTTTTTATAAAAAATTTTCTAATTTATTTTCATCATTATTTTTATTTGAATCGAGAAGAATATGAAGAGAAACAAAACTTTCTGAAATAGTTTTCGTTTTATTAACGCCAAATAAAAAAGCGAGCTAAAGATCAAGTTCATTCATTTTTAAATTTCGCGAATACTAAATTATCAGAGGGATTGAAATTTTTACTTTTTTTCGTGAACTAAATGTTTTTAATATTAAGTATCATTATAAACGGTTGCTTGCAAGTTGCAAGCAAATAGATGCTTGCAAGTTGCAAGCAAATAGATGATAGAATCAAAAACCGACGTTTGAAGTTTTAGTAAATTGATGACCCGAAAATATATATATTCCGAAAATATATTTACATTTTGAATAATTTTGTAGTGTTAAAAGCAAAGTATATATTTATAATTTACTTTAACTTTAGTGACTAGTTAGTAGACTTGTGTAATATAATTTTGCCTTGTTGCCTGGCGACGCGAGATTGATTCCTCGTGAGCGCAAATATTTTTCTGTGTACTTCTATGTTATATTTTAAAGTTTTAAGCTCTAGTTTTATGCAATATGTCTATGTTTGTTGTCAATGCGTTATGTCTATGATTTTTGTCAATAAAAAGTTAAATTGTTTATAAAATTTTATTTATTATAAAAATTAGGAAGTGTGCACAGATAGTCTGACTTAAACGTGTAAAACAGGCAGGGAGTGTACATACATCAACTGACTAAATAAGTAGAACATGCAGGATGTGCACATACATCTACTAAGGTTTTCGGTTTGGGCAGGCAATAAGTTAAAAAAATAATTTGTTTTAAAAAGTGTTTAAAAATCAGGGCAAACACTTATTTTAGTAAATTCCGGTCATCAATTTACACAAAACTTCAAATGTCAGAATAGGTTTTTGATTCTATCATCTATCCCAGCAATTATTTGTTCAGTTTGCGGCAAAAACTTATGAGTATACAAATAAAAAGTTAAAAGACAAATTTTTTTAAGATTAATGCAATTATTATATATTATTATATTATTATTAAAATAATGTATTATATACAATTATTATTATATACTTTATTAAATTAATAATAAAATAAGAACTTCAATCATTTATGAAAAAATGATTTTCACCACCAATAAAATGAAAGTAATTTAAGTAAGTGAAGAAAAGAATTATTAGATGTCACGTCTTATGTTATATTCGTTAGCAAAAAGAATTAAAGTAACTTATTGTAAACAATCAGCCTAATTTGAGCACTTTTTCAAAATTTTAATGATTATATGATAATTTAGTACATGCTTTTTTCAAATAATAATCTGATTAATTTTCAAATCTTGTTTTTCAAAAATCTGATTATTTTTTAACCGGTCAACCATGACTGGCAAGAATTCATTTTGGGAGGCCAAAATAGCAATTTT